ACAACTAATCATCTCTTTAATTTGCTCTACAAATGAATATAGTTTAAAATGGTTTCGTTCTGTTTCGTTTTGCTATTTTTTCTTTTTCTTTTTTTATAATTTGAATCATTTCTCGTAAAGAAGAGCTAGCTCTAAAACAAAATTTTTAAAACACATCTCGAACAAAATTCCACCTGTTTATTGCGCTGGAATTTAACCTAAAAAGCAATCCTAAAATGCTTCAGTCAGCTCTTATGAGGCTACTGAAATTATTTTAAGTTCATTCATATGTTATTTTTGTTTAAATTAGAAGTAATTACTTAATAACAAATCAAGCAATTTTTTAACGCTTGACTTTGTAGTAAACTTTAATTAAGATGTGCAGTTGTTTGTCAAATTCCCTTCACTTTTATAGATATAGTCTAAAAAATTATTCACAAATCATTCAGAAAGTTTTATAATTTTTAAGGCCAAATTTGAAAAAATTCAATGTCATGCGATTAAAATGTGCAATTTTTTGCTAAACAAATATTTCAGGTCATATATATTATGCAATTTTGTGCTTTAGCTATAGAACTGCTTTGAATGAATGATTTATTTCAAAACAGATCAAAAGCGAAAAGCAAAAGGCGGAGTTGACCAAAACTTTTCTGCATATCACGCTAATTGTACCAAAATCGACCAATTGAACCACATTTAAAATTTTCAATTTCAAAGTTTTATCGACACGCAGAATTCATTTTAATTCACGAAATTAAGCAATTTCTATTTTGACATACATTATTAATTCATTAAGTTAATTAATTCAGAATAGTCCTTTTATCAGTCTTTGAATTATCACCAGCAGCAGATATCAAAAAATTGACTTTTAATATAGTAATTGTTTTGTCATTTAAAAAAAAAAATTGATATATTACGAACAGAAAAAGTATTAAATTATGCAAATAACAGTACTTACTTTCAATGATTTTCAAAATCATTGCTATTTAGGAGAAAAAAATTTCAATACCTTTTATTTTCTCTGAATCTAAATAAGCTCAATGAGCTTCAATTCATGTCAAATTTTGCACTAAATACGAAATTAAAACTAAAATGGAAAAAATTTCACAAATACTCTTAATACAACTGTTGAAGTATGAGTGAAATTTTACATCATAGTGAGTATTACTGAATCTGTTTTTGCCAAAAAATAATTACAGTTATTGTAATTTTTTGACAGCTGAAATGATCAAATAAAAAAGGTTGTAATCTTTCAAGTTTGCAGTGATTAAGTTTTGTATTACCAATGCTTTGTATTGAATTCTCAAAGCAAAAGTGAAGTTTATTTTTTATTCTCACATTTTATTACGGCACACAATGCAGTCATTTTTTTGAATTTGGCTTGAGCAATAAGCTAAAATTTATGAGAGTAAGCATAAAAATTAGTTTGATTAATTAGTTATAAGTGACAAAAGAAGATTATAAGTTTATTATAAGAGCAATTGTCTTTCAATCTCTAAAATTAATTACTTTCTTTTAATGTGACGAAAAAAAAGTTTGAATGTGTAAATAATAATATAAAAAGTGTGAGTTTTTACTTTTTACGTTGAAAAATTACAACTAATAAAATTTTTAAAAGACTAATTTTTTCTAAATTACTACTACAGTCTGCAAAGTCTTCTTAAACGACCATTATTTATTTATAACTACTATATTTATATATTAGAGGTAAGGCTTTTAGTACTTTGAGCTTGTTGCATATATGCTATAAATTTTTTCTTTAATAAACATTAAATACTTTTTTTTTGCCAAAATTGCATGTTAAATAATTATATTTGGCTTTCTAAAGTAGAAAGAATGTTACTACAGTATATTAATTTCTCATTTTCAATGATTATTATTAAATATGTGCACTTGTTTTCCAAATTGGTTCCAAGTAATACTTGGAAAATTTGACCTTGAGGTCATGCTAATCCTATTTATATTAGTCATTTGGTATTTTTGGCATCTTGTGATTAATCTAAACCGTCTTATGTTTTGCATATTTGTTTCGCATTTCTGTTCACTTATATGATATTTGTTGTTTTATATTTTGTTGGTTTGTTTTGTGTAATTTCAAAATTCTGAATCAAATTCGGGACTAATATTTTATTAATTTTGAATAAAAAAATATCGAATGCATTCTCAGAAATGATTAATTGAAGAAATCAAAAATATTTTTCGACAATTTCCTATGAGATTACTTCAAAAGCTAAAACTTTACATGACAACAGTATCTTTAATTTTTAAAAGATTATCTCGACTCTATCAACTTCATCATGTTTGCAGCAAAATTACAATTTAAACTTTGTCAAATGTAAGTGAAAATTTGTCAAAGCGTAAGTTTGAAATGATTTAATTGCAATAATTCAAATTTTGATGTTAATTTAAAGATATAATGCAAAAGTGATAATTAAAATTATTCGCGCACACTTTATCATTAATGACAAACATACAAAATAATTGTATGACCATTTTCCATTTACTGTACTATGGTTAATCAAACGCTTGCTGAACTTAACTCATAATGCAAAGGATTATTTAATAAAGCTAATATTAGTAATATGCATGTAATTATTTTATGCATTTGTGATTGATATTATGTCTGTGTTACTTATCTATTACTTGTTTAATTCTGCATTGATTTAATTTTTAGAAAGAGATCAATCTGATTACTATATCGAAGGCATTTTATAATACTCAATTTTTCACTCTACAATAAATTAAAAAAATAGAATGATTGTATTGTTTATCGATGGCGTTCATATAAGTGCTCCAAAATGAAAATTGATACTGAAAAAGTTGAATATAGTTTTTATTTAGTAATAAACAGAAAAACGTGAATCAGAATGACCAAATAGTGCAGAGAGTATTTATTTTATTCTAAATTTATTTTATTTCTAATATTTCATAAATAATTAATTATTTGACATTTAAAAAAAATGAATCTACTTGAATTTTACTGTCACACATTGCATCTTTCAAAGATTTTAAAAAGAATTGGTAAAATTTTATTATGTTGAAAAATCAATTTGTAACTCTTGCAGTACAGTTTTAACTAAAATAATCCCACAGTTTCTACACTTAATTTTTCTTGTGATGACCAAGAAAAATTTTAATCGTCTGTAATCAATGAATTGCAGTTGTTCACGTTTTAAAACGTTTAAATGCCATAGAAAATGAATTCAGAAGTTCTGTAGTCATACACAAAACGGTATATTTAAAAATCTTCAAAATTACTTTGGAAATGAGAATAAATTTCTATAAAAAAAACTGTCAAATTGATCATAATTTGCCATATTTTTATAATACTGGAGATGATATTACTGTTTATTTCAAATGATTAGTGCCAATTTTATATTTTTTTTTTACTATTTGAAACCATAACCAGCAAAATAATTAATTGTGTGCAATTATATTTCAATAATAGTCTAGTATTTTGTTTAGTATTTTGTTCATAAACAAATTTTAGATAAATATAGATATAGATATGTACATATTTATTTATTTATACTTATATATATGCATTTATATTTATATATATAATCTGCCAGATTAGTTAATTACTTTAGTAATTTCAATATTATTCATAAAATCATCTTTGTTGTCATCTTTTTACTTTCCGTTTCACTTTCTATCTTGCAACTCAACAAAAACTATAAGTCGTATAAGTCATTAAGCGTATTTCAAATCTGAAATTTTTGTCGTTATCGGATCATTTTCTGTGTGCTTTTGTTCTTTCTAAACTTTATAAATGTTCCTACCGCGCAAAATATATTTGCTAAATTTTAATTCTTTCTATTTTGCTTTCTCATTATGTCATCTTTTGTTTACTGAATTGTGTCATTTTCTAAACTATGCTAAATGCAAAATTTAGCAGTAGTCAATGCGAATATTTCAACAATCGTTCTTTCATACATCGCAGTGAAGTTGCTTTTTTTCACTCATTTAATACATTTGTGCATATATTTTCCGAACTTAATTTAATTGATGCAATCAATATTTGAATAGTTTACGTATAGATTCTATATGTATTTAATTGAATACTCAATTAGTAACATGAAAAGTTGAGGAAGTAAAGTTGCATAAGTAGTTTATCATATCAAACTGATAACTTTACTAGTAGTGTTCAACAATTTTTTGCGAACGCTATTTTATTTAGAAGTAGATTAATGCGATAGTAATCGAATTTATACGTTGTTATGAATTGTTAGATGCACACAGAATGCTACAGAAACAAGAATTACATATGTTAATTTTGTTGTAGCAATCGTATTTTGAAAATAGTACGGCTAACAAAGGTGAAGATGGTTAGTAGTGATCAGTAATGGCTAAATATCTGCAAAGCAGAGTTTATTGTATGATTCGGCAAGTTGAGAGGTTTGATCTCAAGGTGCAATCTGCGAGAAGAGCTCACTGATCGCTAAGAACTCTTCAAATGTCCACTATTACCAGAACTTTGCATATTGTGTAAGTGAAAGTCCACTTAACCGGTCATACTTCTTATGTAATACTTGCACGAGACTAAATGTAGATGTGATTGAGATAAAAATATTTTGAATTTCTCAATAAAATATGCAAATAATTTGTATTTACCACAATTAAAATAACGTTTATCTTAAAAATACTACTATATTCGACAAAACTAAAAAATTGATCAGTTCAGTAATGGCAAAAGTGAAACAATACAGTGAGTTAATTGAACATATCATTAAATAAATTGAAGTAAAGTTACACATTTTATTATATAAATTTTGAAATGTAAAACAAAATTTTTGAAATAGTAATGGAACATAAATAATGAAAGCAAGTAAATTGCTTTTTAAAGATCCATCTATGCAAGTTGCATTACAAAAGATATTTCCAATTGAATAATCTCTAGCAGAAAGACATTATTTCAATTAATTACTCAACAATAACTTGCAAAGATTTTTTTTCCAAATAATTTAAATAAAAAGTAGGAAAAATCAAGTGAACAAATTATAAATTTTAGATTGTTAACAATGCTACTTTGGAGGCATGCAAGATGTGGTGCTATGAAAAGCGAAGTGCACTGTACTCGCATAACACCGATTCAGGGTAGTGCAGCAAGTTTAGATGATTCAGGCAAACGAATTCAGGAAAGCAGTACAACTGTTGTTGACCTAACGCTTAAAGAAACATTATGTCTTAATTTTTCGGTAATTGAAATTATGCAAGCATTGCATGCATACATTGCATTTTTAATTTAAATAATAAATTTTGAAGGAATATGCTTAAAATGTTTTTTGAAAAAACAACTAAAATTTCTTATTTTTGAAAACTAAAAAAATTTTTTTAATAAGTTTCAAACCATTCATTTATTTAGTAATTAACTAATTAAAAAAAGTCAGAAAGGAACAATAAATACAGGATGGAATGACAATGCAAATTCATACTATTGAATATGTCCGAATGGAGCAACAATTCCCGGTATCAGCATCATATAAATTTGGTATTCCGTTAATTACAACAAATTGCATTTGCGACTGCGCAGGAGCAGAACAGTACTGCAGTGTTGATGACTATAAATATAAGTAAATATATTTGTAATTACATGTAGTAAATTTTCTAACGTGGTAGCATAAATAATATTTTTCGGTCTAATTTCAAAAAATCGTAAAAGATTAAAATTATTCACAAGTCATATTTGGCTTAAACAAAACTCCATATTTTCAATGACTTAAAATAATTTAAGTCAGTGAGTAACTCCATATTAACTTATCCATTAATTAAACATTAACCCATTAGCAAACATTTTATTCAAACTGCCATGGTACTGCAGAAAAAAAAATCAAATTTTCAAATTAATTACTTTAAACAGGAACTGTAGCAAGGGATTTTTATGTTATCGAACATATCATTCGCATCAGTCAAGTAGTGGTTGCTTGATGTCATCAAAAAGTGAAGTTTGCTGTGAGGTCATAATGGAACCATATGGTGTACGCTATTAATATTTATTAATAATAATTTAACAAATCACTTTAAAAAAAACTTATTGTTTTCTAATTTATTTAAGCAAATTTATCCAACAATTTGATTTGTTTATTTCGGTTCTCTCCTACACGCTTACAATTCGTAATTAATCGTTTTGTGACATTTTTTATTTGCATATATTCTTATCTATTCAAATATTTATGCACTAGTTGAACAAACTTGGCACACATTTTGCTAATAACATTTTCATCCCGTAAAATTATATATTTTTTGAATATTTTTTGCGTTTCATTTGCTTATCTTATGTATCTTTTATGCATAACATATTAACTTTGTTCAAAAAATAATAATAATAAAGAAAAAGTTATGATAACAATGAAAATTCTTGAAAATTTTCAGTGTTTCGTTTAATCTGATTTTTGTTTTAGACGAACTTATTAGTTATAAAATTTTTAAAATGTTTCAACAAATAAGTAGGATTTAATTTAGCATGTTTTTTACAGGGTAAATCATATACAGCTGTAAAATTGAATCAACCAGATACAGTAATAATTTTGAGACATAGAATTTATGAACGAGTTACAAATCATTGGGCTGAAGCAGCTTCTGAAGAGTTTGAAGCAGTCGTTAACAAAGGTTCAGCTAAAATGGAAACAATTGATAAAAGAAAAGTAATAATTTTAAATTTGTTCATAATTCTTATAACCAATATTATTTATGAATATAAAAAGGAAAATTTGTGACCTTTTTAAGCATAAATTAGTAAATAAATATATCAGATGGAAATACGAACGACGACTGGCAGAGCAATTCGAGAAATGTATAACGGAATGTATTATTTTTCAAACGATAATAGAGCTCTAATGATGGGTGTACGATTAAATGAACCAACCGAGACTGATATTCATAAATTGGGTTGGCTGCGGAAAAACGGTACTTCATGGTTAATTCGAAATGGAATAATTAAAATTACTGATTCTCAGGTACACTTACTACATGGCTTAAAAAGTATATTTGAAAATGGATTTGTGTTATATTTTTTAGCAACAATTTTTATGATTTAAAAAGTTTTTGATATGGAAAAATTCAACGATCTTTTTAGCACATTACCGTAGAAAATTGTAAAGAACAGCGCTATCTAACTCGATATAATGCCGAATACTTTTTAACTTATGGTGATAGAATATCTGATCTCGATCTTGGCCATCAAGTAGATGAGCAAAATTGGGTCGAACGTGCTGAAATCTCAGGAGATGATAGAGCAGTACGAATAGTTCATGCTGAAGGCAGCGTAATACGCGTAAGTGTCAGCAGCGGTGCTAGGCAAGTAAATTATTGTCTTAAACTTTTTGCTGATGTTTGAAAAAACGGGCAATTTTTTAAAATGATACAAATGCTTCGGGAAAACGTTTTAAATTTTAGATACATTAATTAAGTTTGATTTCAAATGATAAATAAATTTAAGGTTTTTACGTATCAAGTATTAATGATTAATTGGCTGGAAAAGAGAAATGAATGAAATTAAAGTTTCAAAAATAAATATAAAAATTTGGGAAAATACAAAGTTAAATCATACTTTTATTGATTACAATTTGACTAAAAAGTAAATAAAAAAAGTTTTTTTTTTAATATTAATACTAAATAAATCAGTATTTCAAGGCCTATAATTGTACGGCATGCATCACACTTGTTAACTTTCAACGGAACTATTCGCATGGATGAACAATCAAATCGATTTCTAAATCTCACAATTCTTGTTATTAATTTTTTCATGAATCCAAAATTTTGTAATAAAAACGAAACTAAAAAAAGTTTTAAAAAATTTTTTAAAATGATTTTTGCTATATATTCTCTCAGTTTTTGAACTTGTTTCTTGACTGTGTAAAATTTTCATTCATCAAAAAAAAGGCAGAAAATTAAAGTTGATTTGATTCTTTTCCAATAAAATAAATCAAAATTTACATCATTAAATAATGTTTACAAATTTTTGTTATTTTTCAGGGGGGAAAGGGAACATTGATTGGATATGTATATCGATCAGATGATAAATCAACAACTGATTGGAGTTTTAGCATAGAAATTGGAACTGCAACAAGAACAAAATTTATGGCAACTGTTGGTGGAATACCATCAGGAATTATTTCTGATCGTTATGTATGTTTGCAACCTGCAGGAGATGCTAATGCAGAACAATGCAAATGGTTGAAGTAAGCTTCAAATTGATCTTACGTAAAATAAATTATTACCTTCACTGATTGATTGATGAGTTGACCGATGAATTTAATACGTCTAATCAATTTGATAGTCATTATTAACTTGAACAATAATTAACTAATATTGAATTTTTAAGACACATTTGCACTGATATTAGTACAGTACTTTTAATACATTTTTATTTTTGTTATGAATGTTTTCATTGTAATTAGACCTGAGCAAGTTTTCATTTTCGATAATTTTGCTGAAATGTTATTTGTTTTTATTGTTATTTTTTACTCAGATACGAAGCGTCACCATTACGTGAACGACATATGGCACATCGTTGGCAAGCAGGAATTGGTAACTGTCCAGGGTGCAATGAGCGGGGCATTGAAAACTTCTTACTTAAATTGGATCCTCGTCAGTGGCTTGACGGACTAAATACGACTACTGAAGCAGTCACTTGTGCTCTTGAAATTGCTCTTATTATAGCTAGTCTTCTTGTCACCATACTTCTCTGTACTAAATGTATCATACCTTTAGCTAAATGCACTTTGTCTTTCAGTAAATCCCCGAAAAAGTAATTTCAATGTAATTTTAAAAAAAATCAAAAATTTAAATTTATATTAAACTTTTTTAGTTGATATTACAAGTAAAGTAAGTTGTTTAAAAGTTTTTTTGCAAATGACAAATTGTCAAACTGATTCCAAATTGATTTGAGCCATAATACTTTTCAGAGAGAAGAATTCAAAAATATTCTTTGCTTCTTCAATCTTCGTGCCTTTCAGTCATCTATGCTGCCTTTGTATCACTTATATTATTCATTGCACAATTCACTTATTATCACCACTACTGTCAACTAATATTTTGTCGAAACTTTCTGAGTGCAATTGCTTCAATCACACCTCATTTTATTTATTTGCTCAAATAACCTTTTGCTTTGACTGTAGTAATTTTGTTTATATTTTAAAGAAAAATTTTACATATTTAAAATCAATGACTGGTGTCAACGTGTTGGTTATTTAAACATATGGTTGTTCAGTAGTTTTACCGGTGATATTTTCAATTATTAATTATTATCTAAATGATTCTTGTAAACTTTTGAACACTGTATTTCATATAATTATATCACAGTAAATTTTATATAATTTATAATTAAACTTTGGTGTAATATATTGC